TTCAATATGTTATTTTCTCTTTTACTTATTTTCCATAAGCCTACCTTTTACCCATTCTTGTATTCTCCATTATAAGTAATTTGATGCCTCTAATCAAATTATTAATTTAAATCAATCCATTCACCAATCTTTATGCCATTCCCATCATCATCATATGATCCTCCACCACTACAAGAATAAATGATATTTTTACATTTTATTATTTTCTTTACAATCATTAAACCAAATATCCCATCTTCCAACTTTTTTTCCATTTTGATATTCACCAACGAAGGTTACTTATTTCGATTTTTCAAAGCGATCTCCTAAAACAATCCATTTACCAATCTTTATTTCTTGACCTTCTTAATCGTATGACCCTCCACCTCTAATTATATTGAATATTCATATTATTACATCTATTTGTATGTTTCATTCTCTTTGAACCAAATCTACCAGGGTCCTACCTTTTTACCATTATTAAATTCACCCATATGAATAAACTTTGAATTTCTAAGTTATAAAAGAACAAGAAATACTCTCCGCTTCTAAAAATCTCTTAGCCATTCAGATCATAATTAATACAACCGCTATTAAAATAGAATTATTAAATACTGTAATTTCAATATGTTATTTTCTCTTTTACTTATTTTCCATAAGCCTACCTTTTACCCATTCTTGTATTCTCCATTATAAGTAATTTGATGCCTCTAATCAAATTATTAATTTAAATCAATCCATTCACCAATCTTTATGCCATTCCCATCATCATCATATGATCCTCCACCACTACAAGAATAAATGATATTTTTACATTTTATTATTTTCTTTACAATCATTAAACCAAATATCCCATCTTCCAACTTTTTTTCCATTTTGATATTCACCAACGAAGGTTACTTATTTCGATTTTTCAAAGCGATCTCCTAAAACAATCCATTTACCAATCTTTATTTCTTGACCTTCTTAATCGTATGACCCTCCACCTCTAATTATATTGAATATTCATATTATTACATCTATTTGTATGTTTCATTCTCTTTGAACCAAATCTACCAGGGTCCTACCTTTTTACCATTATTAAATTCACCCATATGAATAAACTTTGAATTTCTAAGTTATAAAAGAACAAGAAATACTCTCCGCTTCTAAAAATCTCTTAGCCATTCAGATCATAATTAATACAACCGCTATTAAAATAGAATTATTAAATACTGTAATTTCAATATGTTATTTTCTCTTTTACTTATTTTCCATAAGCCTACCTTTTACCCATTCTTGTATTCTCCATTATAAGTAATTTGATGCCTCTAATCAAATTATTAATTTAAATCAATCCATTCACCAATCTTTATGCCATTCCCATCATCATCATATGATCCTCCACCACTACAAGAATAAATGATATTTTTACATTTTATTATTTTCTTTACAATCATTAAACCAAATATCCCATCTTCCAACTTTTTTTCCATTTTGATATTCACCAACGAAGGTTACTTATTTCGATTTTTCAAAGCGATCTCCTAAAACAATCCATTTACCAATCTTTATTTCTTGACCTTCTTAATCGTATGACCCTCCACCTCTAATTATATTGAATATTCATATTATTACATCTATTTGTATGTTTCATTCTCTTTGAACCAAATCTACCAGGGTCCTACCTTTTTACCATTATTAAATTCACCCATATGAATAAACTTTGAATTTCTAAGTTATAAAAGAACAAGAAATACTCTCCGCTTCTAAAAATCTCTTAGCCATTCNACATCTATTTAAATTATTGATACACATTCATTCTATAAAAAATATCCCACCTCCCAATCTTTTTCCCATTTTTATATTCACCTGTTATAATTACTTATGAGTTTGCCCAAAACCAATCACTAATCTCTTTCCATATTCCTATCTTAATACCATCACCTGCTTCATCATAAGATCCACCACCACTAAAAAATTTCACTATTAGAATATTGGTTACATCTATTTAAATTATTGATACACATTATCCCTATACAAAATATCCCATCTACCAATCTTTTTCCCATTTTTATATTCACCTGTTATAATTACTTATGAATTCTCTGAAAAAAAATCATTAATATCAATCCATTTCCCATTCTTATCTCCTTCTTCATCATAGAATCCACCACCACTATAAAATATTCAAGCTTTAATTTCTTACATCTATTCCTCTTCATACAAAATATCCCATCTATTTACTCTCTTACCATTTTTCAATTCACCCCTTTAGATGATCTTTGAACCAACACAAGAATTCATATTTTGTAAAATAATATAATGCAATAAATGTAATAGAAATTTAATTTATATATATCATTTCAAATTCTATTACTTTATAAATATTATATAAAAATTCAGGGATAGATTTTTTTTGTTATAAAGTAGAAGCTAACTCTCATGTCTTTCATCATTTTCCCAATCTCCATTAGCCCATTAGCCCATTAGCCCATATCTATATACCCTTTCAATGTTTTATCAACTACAAAATCTCTATCATATTAATCTCCGTTATTGTATTTTTTTAAATCTTTTCCATTTAACCAACATTAATCCTTAATAATCGAAACTACTTGGACTCCAGATATAATAGAAAACTTTGTTTATGCCCTAATAATTCTCACTGATTATTATAAAAAGTTTATAAAATTTGGGATCAAGAAGTAGATGTTCCGATTTTAAAACTCATAATTATGCAAAAAAAATTGAATGCTTTGATCATATTCTACATTAATTTTTTAGAAATGTTAATTATGAATAATAAAATAATTATTTTATAATGAAATCTAGAGTAAGTTGATATGTGTAATTTGATTATGTAAAACCTTAGGTCCAAATGCTCAAGTGCATTTATGACCAAAGTATAATTAGAAGATTGATCCTATTGAAGAACTGAATTTTGCAAAGATTTAAAGTGAATCAAGTCAATGCATATATTACTTAGGTATATTTTTCGTTTTTATGAGCTGATAATATCGGAGTACTTTATAATTAACATACAGTCTAATTGATATTCATGGAGGTTTATTTGGTAATAAGGATGTTATTACTAAAATCAGTGTAATGATTGGTAAGTTCAAAATCCTATTAGAAGTGATTCAAATGAGCAGATAATTCTTAAAAATGAAATCCTCAAAAGGATAAAACTTAGAAGTCATCAAAAGATTAAAAATCAGAAAGATAGAAATAAAATAAATCCTTGTAAATTGAATTCATTTTTTCTCAAAATCAGAGAATTTGGCAAGATATATTCTAAAAAAGAAGATTTAGAGTGATGTATTAAAATAAGAGATTTTTGTATTTCAAAATGATTGTGGTTGGTAAAAGAAGTCATGCATTCTGATCAAATTGTTTTAGTTTGTTTGAGAGAAAGAATTTAAAAGTGTTGGATGTTTTTGAAAGAAATTATATTTAAATAGATGAATGATTATTTGACCAACTTAAAATTAAGTATAATTATTGGATGGTGATTAGAATCTTTTTTGAGTAACATATTTAATCATTATTTCTTATTTGGAATGAGTCTAGCTAACAATATAGAAGAATTTGGAAAGTAGTTGGATTAAAAAGCAAGATTTAAACTTTAAGGAGCATGTGGATAGAATTAAATTATGTCTATACAATATAGGTAACTTTAGTAATCCTCTCGTAATGAAAACATCTTTTAGAAGTTGTTAAAATATTAATTTAAAAGGAATAAGTGATGAAGGATTATAAAGCTACGAAAGAGAATAAAAGAAAATACAAAATAATGAATAAAAAATTTAATATAATTGATAAATACATAATATTGAGAGATAAATTCGTTTATGATAAAAATTAAAGTTTAAATTTTGATTCTCTCTCTATTTATGACATATTAAATATGATTGAAAAAATAAATAAAAACATTTAATATATAATATGAAATATTAATTAAGGCTGATTCAGAAAGAACAAAGAACGAATAACTTTCTAAGATTCCAGTATTCTCTAACAGACTTTATTGTTACTAGACTGACTTATAAGTCTAAATTTCATAAAAAATATTCATCAAAATCTTGAAAAGAAATTCTGAGGTAGGAATGATTCAAAATAGTTATAAAAAGGGATTCTGGAATGTTTCTTTTGCACTAAAATTAGAGATATAGCATCTAAAAGAGAAAGAAAAATACTATAAATAAGGGAGGAAAGCATAATCATTTTATTTAAAAAAATACTCTAAAAATGTAGAATGATTAAATTAAATTCTTAAATTTTATGCTGCTAGTTTAAGAAATTACTCTTAGAAATCATCTTATAAGTACTTAATCATTTCTACTACTCCATCAATGTATTTTTTTTAAAGATGATTTAGAAACACAAATGACCCAAAGTATTCTTATGGATCTTTTATACGATTTATTTGATAATAATTTCTTAACAGAATGTAATTATAGTCATTTCATTCTCAAAACAGACCTTAATCTTTTATTGTCCATATGGATGATAATCATATTCATCCTTTTTTAATTCCTATTCTATGTTTATTAGGTTTAGTATGTCTATTTTTATAAATATTTTAAAACCTACTCTATATTTTTCATTACATTCAAAATTTTTGTTGATTTTTTCCTTTTAAAAACTTATCTATGATTAGATATTTACAAGTTAATTAATTTACTAATTCCTTAAACTCCTCCAGGCCTATTAATTATATACAAAATGCTAATAGTCATAAAGAAATCTAAATTGTTAAAGATGTTATCAATATTTTTATAGCTAGCAAATCACAATTTTTTAATTGTTTCGTTCCAATTTTTTTAGATTAACAATTTTTATGATTTTAATATTTAGATTCATTAAATAACTAGTTTTTTATTTAGGAATATTGTTCTGATGTTTTACCCAATTGAGAAATTTTTAAATAGATAACATCTTTAACTTTATATTAATTATACATTCTTTTTTAAATATTATATAAAATGATTTTATAAGGTAGGTTTATAAATGATTAATATAAATAATTAAATAAAAAAATGTATAAACTAAAAATGATAGAAAATGAAAAAAATCTTCATTGTTTAATGAAACATGGATTACCTGTCTCAATGGTTATTCTAGATTCTAAACTAACATAAAATTAAAGACTTTTGTGTTAGGAATGCATTGATAATTTCGAATCAGAGTAATAATATAAGACAATTGGATTTAAAAAAATTGTTTAGAAGATTGAAGAGAATAAATAGTAATAATTAAATATTATAGAAAATCTAATTATAAGTAATATTAAATAAGTTGAATCATTTTAAATTGAAATGAATAATTTAAAATCTATGATTATTTAATAATTAGATCAATTAATTAATAATACAAAAGATTGGATATTAAATTTAAAATAAATAGGATTTTAATATTCAGAATATAGTTTCTTTAAAGAATTAGATTTAATAATAATTAATTAATAAAATA